CACAGTGCACTGAAGGAGCTAGACGTGGTAATAAATCATTTCAGGAGAATGTGGATGAATGTCCACAAAAGTGAGCACAGTTGGGGGAGTGGCTAAAAATCATTCTGCATAATCTTCAGATTGCTAGTGTTCTCAGTTACATAAAGTGGACATTAACCTCAGAGTGCATGATTAAAACTGTGTGTATCTCTAGCTGATCCCTATGAATAGAATCATAGCACTGGAAGCACTTGGGAGATTGTATGTTCATTTTTATATGGAGACCCACAGTGTCTAAATGTTCTTTTCACCTATTATAATAGGGAAGAGTTGTAGGTAAATGAATTCTTGATTTCATAGAACATTTATTTGTCACTTAGAGCTGTACCAGGTGCCAGAACATAACAATGAATAAGAGACAGTTCTCTTGACCTCAAGTTGCTCAGTCTAGAAGGATTGAATGGAGACAAACAAGCGAATGGACACTTAAAATTTAGGATAATAATTAATGTCCTAGAACTATGCACACAGCGGTATGGAAACATAATAAGAGTACCTGCGTAGGTCTGCAGGAGGCAGGTAATGGCTTCACAGGAATATTTGGATTGAGGCTTCTAGAATGAGTCAGGTATATACCCCAGGAGAGGGCATTCCATGAAGGCGAATGACTATGTAAAGGAATGAGCTATAAGAGCGTGGCAAGCTCAGGACCTTCCAGACTCACCATGTAACTGTGCATAGAGCTGGTAAAGGGGCAGACAGTACAGGCTGATCATCAAGGCCAGCCAGAGGCAGGAAGAATCCAGGCAGATCTTTGTCCTCAAGGAGCCCCTGAAGAGTGTTATGCAGGTCAGTGACATGATCACATTTTTGAAGAAGGAATACCACTCTACAGCAAAGGCAAAGGCTGAAGGCGGCAAAGTCAGGAGGCTGCTGTGGCCATGCAAGCAAGATGCAAGTGGGACTGTAATAGGGCAGTGTGGCAGAAGAGATCGGCAAGGGGTAAGAGGTGTGTATGAGACACCTGCTGGACTCCAAGTTCAATTGGATATAGACGACAGGGGAGGTGGATGCCCAGGATTCTGGTATGCACCAGTGTGTGAGTAGATAGGGGTGCCATGTATTGAAACAGTGGACATAGGAAAAGGAGGAGGTTTGAGGGTATTGATTTCAGTTTGTGACTTTTGAGGTGCTAGGACCCAGAAAGTGGATTTCTGGTGAATAGTTGAATATGTTGGTTTGGTGAAGAGGAAGTAGGCTTAGGCACTAGAGATACACAATGGAGAATTATCAGCATGTAGATAGTAGATGAAACCATGAGTAAGGAGATGGAAGAGTAATTGGCCAAAACACAAGAAAGGCAGCTTAGAGCTATGTTGTAAAGGGCTTTGAAACATCTCAGAAAGTTTTGCAAGGTGAGACTGCTTTGGCTAAAGAGACTGTTCAAGTGGGACCTGCATTAGAGCCTCATTCATTAAATAAGCATGAAAGGAACATGTTCTGTGGCTTGACACAGGGGCGAGAGCAGTGAGAAAACAAGCACAGTCTGTCTTTGCCCTTATGCCATTTATCCACTTCAGTAGAGAATCATGTATTTAATTAATTTCCACACTGGTAAGTGCTACAAAAGAAAAGCATAGGGTGATGTAACAGTACAGAATGAGGGGGTGGGAAAGCCGGCACTTGGTCTGTGGAGTCAGAGAAGGCAACCTCAAGGAAGTGACATTTCAGCTAGACTTAAAGGGTGAGTAGACAAGCTCCAAAGAAAGGATAGGGACCGCTCTCCAGAGAAAAGAAGACCTGAAGGATGCCCTCATGGCCTGAGGGAGTTGGGTGCTTGAGGTGACATGGTGACAAGTGACCCCACTACACATAGCACTCCTGAAAGATTCTGCAAGTGCTGTGTAGCTATCACATTTCCCATCTGTAGGTAGACACCTCAAGGACCTGGGTTTGTAAATCCAGGTATGCTCCAAAGAAAAGCACTTAATAGCAGGACATCCTCCAGTGAGCAGCAAACTGCTGTCAAGAGGGGCTCCTTTCCCTAGCAGCCACCTGGCCATGAAGCAGCTCCAAAACACTGTTTCAGAGCCCCTTGCAGGGCATTACTAGACAAGGTGGTGGTTTTGTGCATGATGAAGACAGTGAGAGTTGCCTGAATTTGGACAAGCTATTCAAGCAGAAAAGAGGCAGTAGTTGAGCAGCCAAGAAATCGATGTGTTTGGTCAACACAGGTCACCTGGGAGTGTAACATTTGTGTTCACCAGCAGCAGCAGAATGTGCCTCTTCAGAACTCGGCATGTGAAGGAATTAGCTCGAGTCAAAATCCAACCTTGGCACATATTAGTCCCCATGTGGTTCTTTTGTGAGATACAACAAACCAATTGGGAAAATAACCTTGGAAGGAAACTTGATTGATTTTTCAAAGAAAGTGAGAACTCCTATGAAAATTTATCTTAAATCTATTAAAGCTAACCTCCTAGGCAGCTTGTAAGAGAAACTAGATTGCAATTCCATTTTGCAAAAAGCCTTTAATGTGTTTTCCCACATTTTTGGCCTTTGTTTCAGTTATACCTGTCAGGTTGTTTTATTAGGTGACAAAATAGCTGACCAGCTGCTTTGATTCACTGTTGTTTTTCTCCTATTGATGCTGAGTGCATCTTAATGTTCCTTCCAGCCTCCAAATACATATGTGGAAGTAATAATCTGTTTCATTCAAGCTAATGATTTAAAGATGAAACATAGGTCCTTCCACTCTTTTTGTTAAACAGAACATTAAGAATTTCCAAAATTTAATACCTAGCTTTAGCGCTTATTAACAATGGTTTGTTTTGAGCCTCTGTCTTCTCATCTGTGAAATGGGAATAAATAAACCTGCTTCACTTACTGAAGAGGATGTTTTGGAAGTAAATGAAATAATGCATGAAAGAGTGCTTTATAAACTTTCACACCATTCACATGTTACATGTTAATATTAGTGATTGTCATCACTATGACTAATAAGAAAATTACTCACACTAGGATGCAGTCTTTTTATATCTTCCATGAAAATTATTTATGTATGTGTTCTTCATTACTATTCTCTCAATTTTCACAGCCACACATAAGACCAGCTTCACAGCGACATGGAAAGGGATGTACATCCCCCTCCAGTTTTCCAGAGAGGAAAAGAAAATTGTTTTGTGATTGTTAAACACATTTTAATGTACTTAAAATCAAACATCAAATAGTGGAATATATATCACAGTTTTCCTTTTGTTCAATGACAGTATAAAAATCTAATCTTACATGGAGATGTGTCTTAGTCTGCTCAGGTTGCTGTAACAAAATACCATAGGCTGAATGGCTTAAAGCACAGAAATTTATTGTTCACAATTGTGGAAGCTGGGAAGTCTAAAATCAAGGCACCAGCAGATGACAGCTTGTTCCTGCTAGATGATGCCTTCTGGCCATGTCCTCATATGGTAGAAGGGACAAGCAAGCCTTTTCAGCCTCTTTCAAAGGGCCCTAATCCCATTCATGAGAGTTCGACCCTCATGATCTAATCACCACCTAAAGACCCCACCTCCTAATACTATTGCATTGGAAATTAGGTTTCAACATATGAATTTTGAGGGGTTGCAAACATTCAGACTACAATATGAAGACTGGAAAGTCCAAGATCAATATTCCAGCAGGGTTCAGTTTGTGGTGAGGGCTCTCTTTCTGGCTTGCAGACAGCTACCTTCTATGTGTTCACATGGCAGACAGAGATGGGGATCTTTAGGGTTTCTTCCTCTTTTTTTTTTTTTTTTGGGACAGAGTTTCGCTCTTGTTACCCAGGCTGGAGTGCAATGGCGCGATCTCGGCTCACCGCAACCTCCGCCTCCTGGGTTCAGGCAATTCTCCTGCCTCAGCCTCCTGAGTAGCTGGGATTACAGGCATGCGCCACCATGCCCAGCTAATTTTTTGTATTTTTAGTAGAGACGGGGTTTCACCGTGTTAACCAGGATGGTCTCGATCTCTTGACCTCGTGATCCACCCGTCTCGGCCTCCCAAAGTGCTGGGATTACAGACTTGAGCCACCTCGCCCAGCCCTGGTTTCTTCCTCTTTTATAGGGACATTAGTTCTGTCACATCAGGACCCTTATGATCTCATTTAACCTTAGTAACAACACATGGGTGGTTAGAGCATTAACATATGAATTTTAAGAGTGACATAGCTCAGTCTATAGAAAGATGGAAAAAGAAGATAATGAATATTAAAAGAATTTGGGTAGGATAGCATTATCCATGCATTAGAAGAACTGTCCATGGTTAATGTGTGATCACAGTTATACTGTATTTTGTGTCTGGTAGGGGGACATAGTTTAAATCTACTGAATGTATATAAGCTCACCTATTTCATAAAGGGAATTCTATTTCTTCTCCCTCTTCACTCCATACCGCAATGGGCCCTGGCTATGGTCTGAATGTTTGCGTCCTCCAAAAATTCACAGGTTCAAACTGAATCCCTAAGATGATCATATTAGAAGGTAAGACCTTTCGGAGGTCATTAGGTCATAAGGGCTCCACCCTCATAAACTGGATTAGTGCCCTTATAAAAGGAACCTCAAAGAACTAGCTAACCCCTTCTACCATGTGAAGACACAGCTAGAAGACACTGTCTATGAGGAACAGGCCCTCACCTGACACAAACCGGTGCCTTGACCTTGGGATTCCCATCCTCCAGAACTGTGAGAAATAAATTTCTGTTTTTTAAAAGCTACCTAGACTATGATAATTTGATATAACAGCCTAAGGGTCTAAGACAGCCCTGATTCCCTACTATGCTTTAAGCAATGATTTCCGCTACTGGATTTGGAACATTCCCCCTATTTTTATGGATAAACTATGCAAACTTATACAGTTGTTATTAACTACAGGAATAAGAAAATTTGAGATGTTCTAGTGTACAGAATTGACCTTTGTCAGGTGGGCATGTGTAGGAATAGCAGGAATAATTTTTCTCCATTCTTACCACATCATACTCTCCTTTTTAGGTGACTGTGACAGATGGTGGTCCTTCTCCAAAACAGTCAACCATTTGGGTGGTGGTTCAGGTTCTGGATGAAAATGACAACAAGCCCCAGTTCCCGGAGAAGGTCTACCAGATCAAGCTGCCGGAACGTGACCGAAAGAAGAGAGGAGAACCGATTTACAGGGCTTTTGCATTTGATAGAGATGAGGGCCCCAACGCAGAAATCTCCTACAGTATTGTGGATGGGAATGATGACGGAAAGTTCTTTATTGACCCTAAAACTGGGATGGTTTCTTCTAGAAAGCAGTTTACAGCAGGGAGTTATGACATCCTAACGGTAAGATCTTCCAAACTCCAGCAGCACGGCGGATGGGGGGACGTGGTTATGTTCTTATTCAAGTATACTCCTTTGAGCAATAAATCTTGAGAGTAAAAAGTGAAGCCACATAGCTGTGGACGGGTTCTTTCTGGGAGGCGAGTGCAGGTGAGAACGCTTGCCTGTTTCATTGATGTTCTCAATAAGGAGACAGTTTCCTTTGGTCGTGTCCTGTCAGCGTTTCCCCGCACTCCCAGGCGACAGGCTGTTTCACCACATTCTCAGCCACTCTTCCTGCAGCTCTAAATCATCCTCAAAGCACTGAACATAGATGTAAAGTAAAGGCAGGGGAACAGCAGGGCAGCACATCCTACCCACCACCAAACATGTCTCTCAACATGTCGCTGAGACTTCCCGTTGAAAACATTTGAAATTATCACCGATGTGATAGAGCATGGATGTAGCTGTGTAAATTGTGAGACACAAATCACAGTGATATTTATTCTGTTAGAACTGAAAAAAACTCAAATATAAAGCGACTGAATTTTTCATTGAATTAGAAAAGTAAAAACAAGTATGAGCACCATCTCATATAGAAACTTGAAGCTCTCATCTCTACAGTGCCAGTGTGCTCCCCCAACCCCAACCATTTAGCCAAGAAGCGCCTATTCTAGAAAGGCAGTTGGTGTCTTACAAGCAATGAGCATGGTCCAGGGTCCCAACAGTTATCAAAAGCCGGCATCATCCACCACCCTTTTCTTTGTCTTTATCCTTCTCTGCTAGGTTAGTCCTTTATTATTTGAAAGGATGGCCTGAGTCCCTTGATTTATCCTTTCTTTCCTGTGGTCTAGACATGGGTTCTTTGCTGTGCTCAGTAACATATCCAGAATAGTAGGAAGAGAAAAAAAAAAAAGATTAGTAAAACACGAGCTCTGTTTCTAGTTAGAAGCTCTGATGTGCTGTGTGCCATTGCAGCTGTGTGAGACTGCAGTTTGGGAATCTTTGAGGACTGGAGATAAATTTGAGTAGATACTATTGGTGTCCTGCCCAGATCCCCTTCTCAGACTGGTTTATCTGTCCCTCTGCTGCTGCAAGCATTGGCTGTCAATGACTCACAGCTGCCCACTTCTCCAGAGAATCACCCTTGGATGATTCTTGGTGAAAGAGAGTCTATTCCCAGCTTAGAGTCTCGCAGCCCACAGCCACTGACTGACACACCCAGATACAAACGTCCAATCCCCTTGCCTCAAGGTGGATTCAACTCTGGTGCAATGAATGGTTCAGAGCTCCCCACGGGATCCCTCCGGTTAGTCAGGACCACATCCTGGTTTAACTCCTACCCCACCCACCCTGATCTCTATTCCCTTTCTCCTGAAAGCACTTTCCCCTAAAAAATAATATGTTCTCAAATGCCTGTCTTAGCTCCTGGGGAAGCTGGTCTAAGACATGTATCTTCAAGGATTCTCATCCCACAGGAATATTCTGGGGCAAAGCAGTCATCCATGAACACATAGCATGAGGGTGCTATGCATTGTCACTGTTTTTAAAGGCTATAACAGTTTTGTGCCCATAAATGTTATTTTTTAATGTAATACTTGGAATTCCTTTTAAAAATTTATTTTTGTTTTTGTTTCATTTTGGCTTTTGCTTTTTGGAGCTTTTGACGCTTCCATTTGAGTCCAGGACACCACAGGTGTTCACCCTGCTCAAGTGGGCAGGGAGACTTGCTTTCACAACCCTTATATCAGCTGATTATGACCACAGAGAAGAGTCATTAGCACTGTCCTCCCTTCCACGCTGCCTCCAGGGATTGCGCTGCCCAGAAAGTTCTCTGTGACCTTTCTGCAGGTGGTAAAGCTGAAGGACCTCAAGGCAGTTAGCTCCAGCCTGCTCCCTTTCTCAACCCACTCCATCATGGTTCTGGTATCCTGTGCTGCTAACAATCACATAGCGCAGAAGGAAGGAGCTGCTAAACACAACCCCCACACACACATACACAACCACACACTGCAAAACACAACCCCCACACACATACACAACCACACACTGCAAAACACAACCCCCACACACACATACACAACCACACACTGCAAAACACAACCGCCACATACACATACACAACCACACACTGCAAAACACAACCCACACACACATATACAACCACACGCTGCAAAACACAACCCCCCACACACATACACACACACTTCTACACATATCATTCACACATATGTAAGGTTTCACAGTGCACTTTCCTCCCTTTCATATGTCACTATCAGAGGCGAGGTTCAGGATTATGCTATCAGGAATCAAATTAGCTATTTCTATTCACGTAACTACTATTCAGGCCCACAAATCACCACAAACTGTAAGTACAGCATTTCTCTTCCAAGGTCTCCATATCTGCTAAGTTGACTGTGGTTCAGACAGCCTCTGGCAAACATGGTGCAAGCCTTCCACATGACTGGGTTGTTCCCCTCCGTTCCCAAGTCTTTTCTCCCCAGGTCTCCACTCCCTTCTTCCCCTTGCTGACACTGTGTTGAAGATGAACTCTTGGCCCAGCAACATGAGTAACAGATCCAAACTCCACAGCAATCAGAGGTCTGAGACATCTTTCTGTTCTCTCCCTGTGTGAGTAGATAAAGGCAGTGGACAATGGGCGCCCACAGAAATCCTCCACGGCCCGCCTCCACATTGAATGGATTAAGAAACCACCCCCTTCACCTATACCATTGACCTTCGATGAGCCGTTTTATAACTTCACGGTCATGGAAAGTGATAGAGTGACTGAAATTGTAGGGGTGGTGTCTGTGCAGCCAGCCAACACCCCTCTGTGGTTTGACATAGTTGGTAAGTTCGAGTCTTACAGAGCAGTATCGTGCAATGTGATAATTGAATGAAGCAACTAGAAAAAAAAAAAAAAGAAAGAAAAGAAAGGAAAAACTAACAATTAGTGCCAAGATTAAAAGATATGTAGTGCTGGAATGCAAAAGAGCCAGTAAAATGAATAATCGACCTGTGCTTTCGTTCTGACTCTGTAGCTAAGCTGAACAGAAAGTGCTCTCTGGCTGGATTTTCCATAGTACGTTATTTACTGCGATCTTAATGTCTTTCTGTGTGTCATTTAAATTCTATTGTCACATTTGGCTAATCTCATTTCTAAATGTATTGATGGTACTAGACTTGCTGTCCTTCATTTCTCTCTTTTTCTTCACCTTTTTTCTGCATTCTGTTCTTTTTTTTTTCTGCTCCCGACTGCCCTGCTTCAAGGTGGCAAGCATGCTCGAGAGATGTTCTATATTCTACAGACAGCTTGTGGGCAGAACTGTTCAACAGAAGGTACCCTTAGTGCAAACACATTTGCTAAAATACAGCTATCCAATCTGCCTTTTACGGGTTTTTTTTTTTTTTTTGAAGCAAATTGAATTACATCTTTCATAACTGCCTCTGACAGGCTGAAGTGCAGCCCACAGATTTCATATATGCCTCTAACAGCTATTGCATTACTCGTATCCAATGACTTCTTTTGTTTGAGGTGCGATGGGGTTTGGATTTTGGGGGGGTTGTTTTGATTTTTGTTTCTTTGCCTTTGAGGTATGTGGGCTTGTTGTTGTTTTGTTTTTAATCTTTTTGTAGGTTGGTTTATTTCACTGGGCCTTTTCCAATTGAAAAAGAAATTAAAATGTATTCCAGCCCCTCTGTTTTGCAGCAGTAGTACCATTCATACACCAAAAGCCCTATCAGGATAGTCCCCTGGCTGCCATCCACAAGAGGAAGGGCAGGAAATGGAACCTAGATATATAGCCAGTCAGCCTCCCCCCGCAAGCTGCATAGGGGAAGCAGATGGAAGCATGTGGGATAGACCCTAGGAGCCAACCTTTAAATTCCTTGAAAGAAAGCAAGCAAGCACGCCAGGCTGCAAAAGGAAAGGGCAAAACAGCACTACAGCCCTTGACAAACCAGCAGGGAGAGGCAATGGAGAGGAAATGAGTGCTGAGGACCAGGAAACAAAGCAGGCTGTTGCTAAAACAGAGAGGAGAGTGTGTGTCACCAGGTCGGACACTGAGGTGAGCTAAAGCTGACTTCCCACGCTTCTCTGTGGGAGGCAGGGGATCCAGGAGAGAGTCGGTCTGGGGGAATCATTTCCTTCCACATGTCACTGCCTGGATAGGATAGGCAGGAACCTGCGTCTCCCCTCAAGAATGGCTGTGCTTGGGAGAAGCATTTAGAAAGTTCCACAATGGTTTTAACAAGGCACAGAAAAAAAATGTTCCATGGCCCGCAGTCAAACCTCCGTAGAGAGTCCTCTGAACTTCCAAAAAGCAAAGCGCTCTTTTCTCCATGTTCCATTTGATGAAATAGTGGTGAAATATGTTTGTTTTACTTATTTGGTATTAATAGCATGCCATCTGTACATGGCCATCCTCACACCAAGCTTTCGCTTCCTTCTTCATTCCCACTCAACATATTTGAAATGGAACTCCTTCTGATCCATGAAAGGTGTCTTTACTTATCTTCCCAGTAATTTCCAGCTCATTAAGATATTATCAAATGCAATCTCTTCTTTCTTGGCACAACAAAGTGTTACACTTAGTCGTGGTCTGGTTGTCTGTGCAGTCACCTCTAATGATTCCTTCCCTTCTACCTCCAGTAAGAGTCACAGAAAGTGCAATTCGGTTCTAACACGTGTTTCTAGTGCCAGGTCTCCAGAAATAAGTGCAATAATGATTTCTAGCCCGGCACAGTGGCTCACACCTGTAATCTCAGCACTTTGGGAGGCTGAGTTGGGCGGATTGCTTGAGTTAAGAAGTTTGAGACTAGCCTGGCCAACATGGCAAAACCCTGTCTCTACTAAAAATACAAAAATTAGCAGGGCATGGTGGCAGGCACCTGTAATCCCAGCTACTAGGGAGGCTGAGGCAGGAGAATTGCTTGAACCCGAGAGGTGGATGTCGCAGTGAGCTGAGATTGTGCCATTGTACTCCAGCCTGAGCAACAGAGCCAGACTGTCTCAAAAAAAAAAGCGAGTTATTTTACATAGCCTAAAGGAGAGGGCAGTAGAAACCGAATAGGCAGTAGAATGTCTGATGTGCTGTCCTGAGATGAGATGAGTTGCTCCTTCTCATCAGCCACTGTTTTTTCTCCCTCCTCCTTGGACGCTCCAGTTTGCAAGTACCTCTACAACTTGGCAGTGCCACATCTCTCCCTGGCATGATCCATGCACGCAACCTGCTGACCCGTAGCACATCCCATCTACCACCCATGTTCCCTGGAATGCCCTTACTTATACTCTGCTTTTGAAATCCTACTGGCATGCCTTCCTATAATGGTTAGTCTCACCAAATGCCTGACCCCAGTTATCCAGGTCAGGCTTGCAACCTTCAGCATTCCTGCATGTGTGTGTGTGACTCTCTGTAGGTAAGCATGCCTAGCAGTACTGCATGTAACCTGATTTGCAAGTTTTTCCTGTCAGCAGGATGAGTGCTGCTGTATATTTTCATTTGTGTTTATCCTGTCTCCACTCTTAACCCCTAAGGTTAAGGCCCATGTGTCCTCATTCCTTCCTCCTGCCAATACCTCTGTTGCTACCAACCCAGGATGAGTGGAATACACTATGGTGACTGATGGAGATACCCCAGGCAGCCACCATGCTAACCCTACGATGCCTCCTGGAACCCACTGAGAGTCAGTGTGACCTTCCACTGTGCTGCCAGCCATGGCAACCTACGCACCTTTGACAAAATAGAAATATCATTGGTCCAAAAAGAAAGAGGTCGTTTACAAATGAGAGTCCTCCCTGGAAGGAATCCCTTTAAACTACCTTAAATATAGACCCAGGATCTATCATCAAGAACATGGCATCAGTTTTTGTGTTTCTTCATCGGTGTATTTCTAAATGCTGCACTCTTCCTAGAGATTCCCCTCAGTTTCAATGCATTTGTAGGTCTCTGAATGAGGACCTACAGGGTTGTCCCTCTGGTCTGGAGCTTCCATCACAGAGTTTTCACTATAAATCTAGTCACATCTAGCCAAGCTTCTTTTCCAAATTGAATTTACTGGGCCAGATGCCCAAACAGAACATGATTTTATTTCCATCCTCACATCCAGCCAACAACATCTTGAAACACCAAATCTTTATTTCACCGCAAAAGTAAAATCCTTTTCCCAGGTGCTGGTTGCCTCAGAATCGATACAGTCCGGATTCCACCAAATCCTCCTTTTGAAAATCTTTCTAATCCATCAGAGTCATTTTTTTCTCAGTCTGCTGACAACATCTTTCCCCTTCTCTAAATACCTATTGTTTCCTTTATCATATTCAGATGTTTTATTCTGCTCTCAGGATTTCTTGCTTATTTATCTTTGGCCATGGAAACTCTCATCCCTTTGTTCCCTTTCTCCTTACCTAAGCATCTTTTTTTGGCCAAGCTAACATACAGGGGAAAGAGCGAAGAATGTGCCTCAATGCTTAAGAAACATAGCAGTGAACGCCTGGAATAGGCGCCAGATATGTAATGTCGGCATGGATCTGAAGTGACGTCTCAAGTTTAAGTATGGGCCTTGCCTGGGCAAATACTCTGTGACTCTTCCAACTGGAGTGAGATTTGGTTCCATTATAGACAGTGCTTTCACACACCTAAAGAGACCCTGAGTTACAGAAAACACATCGTCTTGGCATTGCACTGATAGCTTGCAAATGCTATAACTAATAAATTCTCATTAAGTGAGCAGAAATAGTGTTTTAGCATGCTTTTCCCCTGAGAGTAAAGTCTCCTCATTTCTGCAATTCCAAATCTACCTAGTTCTTGTTTAACTGCATTTCTTTGCCTCCCACCATGATAGGAATTCACAAACACTGGGTGGTGAGCAAGATTTCGTTTCCAAGCCTAGACCCTCACGTCGAGGATCTGTCACACACTTTCTTGTGCCTCCAAGGAGACCACTGCTTGCAATGTTATGCAGTGAGACTTTTCAGCTTCCAGAAACAGAAGCCCTACTTGTAACTGAGTTAAGAAAGCTGTAATTAAAAGGAAACATAATAAAGTTCAGCTGTTCTGTGTTTAAACAGCCCAACGCACAGCATGTTCCTTCTCTGTGTTAAAAGGGAAAGAAAGTGAAGGGAACACAAATAACCCATAATCCTTTGTGGCTTTATCACATATCTTCACACTTCTCAGGGGACTATGATTTCAACTCCACAGCTCCTTGATTTACAGACTCACTAGTGTGCATGCAATCTGGTTCACCGTGCAGTCCCTGTATCTTTATTCTGTTGGCAAATATTTGAATAGAGAAGGCCACCTTTATTACACACTTCAGACAGTTCCTCTTTATCTGCAGATGGATGGGGGATGTTGTAAACCATTTTTTTACCTTTTCACCTGACTTAGGCTAGAAAAATAATTTTCTTTGTAAATGGTAAGCATCTGCTAAAGTATCTTTCTTTATCTCGCTTACTGTAAGGCTACGCTTTAAAAATGATTCTCTGCTGGTGAGTGCTAGCACATAGGTCCAACTCTAGCTGAAGTGTCTGTGTCGCAGATACAGGAAGGCCGCCTTGGTCCTTCAGTTGTCATAGGTTCCTTCAAACTTTGGGCTCCAGGCTAACGCTATGTCATAAGCTTATGCCTGTCTTTCTTGAACTTTGTCCCCAGTGGAGCCATCACTTACTTAGAGATGAATCAGGTAGGCCAGTTGAAGTCTCTGGTAGCACTAGCAGCAGCCTTGTTCTTCATCTAGAGCTTGGGCACCTCTGGGTCTTCCCTAACCAGGTGGCCGTATTTCTCTAACAAAAGACTCTTACCCAGTGCTATGGAGAAAAAGCACATTCATGCATCACTTCTATACAGCTGCTCCTGCATCAGGGTGTCCCTTGCTCCAAGTCATTCAACATCAAACACTTCATTTCCCCTCTTCTGTCCTTTTTCCCTAATTTGATCCCAAATAAGCCTCTCATTTTTCCATAGCAACAGTCTAATCCATAGGAGCACATCTGAAGAAACTTCAGGAAAATAGGAAGCCTAGAAATACTTAATGTACTATTAATAGTTTTAAGAAAAATGAACTTAAACTCCATTCTAGAAAGGATTTTCCTTCTGTTTCCTGACCTCCACCTGGTATCTCCTGTCTTCCAAGTAAATATCCTTTTCAGCCAGGTACCGTGCTTGCTTTCATTTCAAGGCAGAAAATTACAGAAAAACAGTAATTGGTGTTTAGCATTTTCAAGATCAAACCGTAACCAGTGTTTAGCATTCTTTCTTAAGCTCAGTGTACATGCTGAACCTGAATGAACGGCTTGTGCACAACTCCCTAAATTCATTGAGATTCGGCAGCTCCGTGTTCTGGAAGCTGCTCATATAACACCTCCTTTTTGGTGACAACTAGATGTGGGCTGGTATTTTTACAGTTACACGTGGAGTGGAATAGAGTTGTATGCTAGAGGAGGGACCTGGAAGCTTCTCTAAAAGGGAAGCTGTGTGATTCTCACCATTGGATCTCTTTATGGAGGGACAGAGCTGCTTCATACACTTCTATAAAGAAAAACTAGACAGAATTATGGCCCGGTGCTCCAGTGCCCAGCACATTTAAGCAGTAGCTGCTGGCTCAAAATATTTCCATTTATATCCCATTTTTAAACCTTTTAGGACATTCCTACTTGGGATGTTTAACTTCAGAATCCAACAGAAATCCAGTGTGCCTCTTCTACTCTTTGTTTACTCTATTACACCTGTCTTGACCGAAAATGGTCAAAGAGAAATGTCCCTGATGTGAATTATCTGTTATGTGGGCTGTTCACAACCTCGCTTTTAACCATCTCTGCCGCACACCCCTGCAGCAACGCTCAGGCTGTGACTTTTCTAATTTCCCACTTTGTTGAAACTCAGACCAGCTCTGCGGTGTCCTCCCTCCTCCCCACCTTTTGTTGAGCCTAACGCTGCTGCACCGAACACACTCTGGCTTTGCATGTTCTGTTACTGGCTCTGAGGAAGCACACCTTGTTTAAACGGAATGCCACTAGAGAAAATGGACTCCTAGCATTTGATATTCTCACCCTGGACAATTTGGATGTGGTTTCCTGTGAAAATGAAATCACTTACAGGCTAAAAGGGGGCCTGAAAAATGAGACCTGGGGGTGAGAGATGGAGTCATTTATGAAATGGGATGCTTAAGTAGTAGGTTATTAAATTGTGTGAGGGTTGATGGTAAACTGCGGGTCTAGATTCTGTGTCCCTTGTCAGAAATTCATTTTAAAATTCAGGGAAGATTTTGTTGAACATTACGTCTTGGTTGAACTAGGCACAAATATCTGGAAAATTAGTGTCTGAGTCTGCTAGCTGTATTGGTAGACTGAGAAACATCATTTTTTAGGCTCCTTCTCAAGTGCTCTTGGCTTTGCTCTTCTGACAGTCTATGCCCCCTGTCCCTTTAGAGGTTTCTGCTCTAAAGTATTTGAGGGAGATACACACATACATATATACACACGAATACATATATGAACATACACGGGAAGAGAGAGAACTGTAAAAAATAACCATAAAAGTAGTCATTTTATTTGATATGGAAAATGCGTAAGAAAAAGCACACCCGCTATTTGCCATGTCTAAATGTTATGCCACTAAGTGCATGAGATGATTATGTATTTTTGTACAGGGCCCAGGGTAGAATGTGAGTCAAAGTCAGTGAGAGAGAGCAAATAGGGCTGCTCCATTTAAACAGTAACTCAAACTAGAATCTATGCTTGCTGGTTCTCTAAATTTTATTTTTAATCATCTATAAACTGGAGCAAACTAAAGTTTTATAATTTGTATAATTTTTATTTTGGCTTGACTCACGCATTTTCACATTTTAAAATAATCAATGCTAGAGGATGACACCTTCCCCAACCTCCAAATAATATCATGGCCCTAAGATTTAAGAAAGTTAACATTTTGGTGAGGAAAACATTCTAAACGTGATTTAAAATGTGATTTAATACCCAGGAGAAACAAATTGAGAAGTTGCATTCTCCTCTTTCCTTCCATACAGGACTTATGAGTCAATTTTTTGTCCTTTCTTTCATGGCAAAATTTTTCTCAGAATATACCACTTAATAGAGAATGATTATGTTTCTTTTTTTCTTTTGCTCATGAAGATGGTTTTTCAAGACTCTCAAATCAGCCTTCCATTTTATTTCATGTTATTATCAAAATGAAATATTCCCTTTGGATAAAAAATGGTAACCATTAAGGCTTGCTTCCCTTTTCAGCCTAGACCTCCCCCTCTCTCCATATCCTATCTTCAAACAAATGTTTTTGGAGTTAACATTTAGTGCTCCTCAGTAAATCAATGAAAAGATATTAATTGGAAGATGAGTCTCTTTTTAGATGAGATTTTTGAACAAGTTTATAATCCCCAAGCAATTCTCTGATACTCTCATATCTCCATAACTTTAATTAAATGTCAAGGGCAATTATATTCTCTCTTGCAATTAAATAATCTTAAGTGTATCTGACAGCTGCAAGCAATAAGCATTTGAAATATATATACATATGGCCAGGTTTTTTTTAAGTAAACTATGTTATTTATTTTCTGTCATTGGACATCAGATTCTAGTAATTCAGTTAAAAATCTCCTTCCCTTTACTGACTATTCATAAATTATTATATAAAAGAAATATATTGTTCATTGATCAGCAACATGAAGTGCAAAGAATGTGGAATGTGAAAATAAACCAAAATTAGTTTTCCAAAACATGAAATTCAATAAATGCATTGCCCCAGATGCTGTAGTTAAATAAAATTACTGTCTGAGAACAAAATCAACACCATGGTATTTCAGGCCAAAGTAAATAGAGCTTGTAAACATATACTCATGTTTAATTAAAATTGTTCCAGCATTTATACCATTATCTTTCTTCCCCTTAAAAAAAATGTCATTTTGGGCAGATCATAAACCACACTTGGGTTCACAGAGGTGGAAACATCAGCAGCCATTTCAACAATGGCAATGTTGTCTTAAGCACATCATTCACAGACTGTGAGTTATACTTTTCCTGGGAGTTGAAGGGAAAGTATAGTTTTCTCAGCTTTCATGTGAATTTTTCATATTTTGTTGTTATATAAACTGATGTTTTCTTCTACTTCTTTCCCAATTTTATTTTGTGACTCTTCCTAGACTTTTTGCATTTTTAGGGGAAAAAATTAGGTTTTTTTACTGTCAAAATGGCAAAATAAGTATTTATATAAATATCCCAGCTTACAGATACAGAATTTTTAATATGAATTTTTTTTTTGCTTTTTCTTACTGTTTAGAATTTATAATTTTATTTCTGACATTTAATTAAGGGAATCTGAATTCTAGCAGCCAAATGTTTACCATCAATCCTGGAATAGATTTTTAATGTCTACTCATTTCATTAATAATTGGATTATTTATTTACTTAGAATTTAATCTACTTTGGAAAAAAAAAAGATCTATAAATTTCTAACACAGAAGCCACAAAACGTTGAAGGGCCTTTAGGCTTCTAAATATTTAATGGAGTCAGTTTATGCTTCACTACTCTTAACATTACTGCTGAGGATTTTCTTTGCAATACATTCCTTTTTTGTGACATTTGTTATGCATTGTAGAGGCTGTGTTTTGAACTATGAATCAAGTTAGAAATAAAGAGGTCCCATTTACGATGTACAAAATTGAGCCATAGGGATGTCTATCAAAAAATATTTCTGTATAAGAGCTCCCTTTAAAGATATATGATATAATAAATGTAATAAGATCTCAGATTTGCTAATTTCATGTTTCTGTGAAATCATCAGGGGGGAATTTTGACAGCGCTTTTGATGCAGAGAAGGGTGTTGGGACAATTGTCATCGCAAAACCTTTGGACGCAGAGCAGAGGTCCATCTATAATATGAGTGTGGAAGTCACCGATGGGACGAATGTTGCTGTCACTCAGGTGAGATGTTAAATTACTGAATTACAGGAATGCTGAAACAGCTGCTAAAGTCAGGGTTGCAAGCGATGACAAAAAAAACAAAATGTAGTGGAAGTAGTAAATTATGTCCATGGTTTTCTAGTGTTTAAAAAAATCATTTTCAAGAACTGAGAAAGGGGATTCTATAGATGATACCATATAACTTAGCTGCCGTTTTCAAGAAGTTGTGATTGATCATGCATGGCAAAGTGATACATGTTTGTTTCCTGATTATCTACCGTAGATTTATCTGTTTGACAATAAAGTCAACTTTCCTTGAATTTCCAAAGAGGAGGACATCTATATTGCTTGAGTTGACACACCATGTTATTCTTTACCTCCTCATTTTTTTAGTCACAGAAAGTTATAGCTAGAGAACACGTAAGAGTCCAAATTCATTTATAGACTTAGACAAGCTAAGTAATATATCCAAGGTCACACAGCCTTAGTAAAGAAAAAGGACTGGGATCTAGGTGTCATGACTCTCTTCTGCCTTTCCAGCCTCTTTATCCCTCCTGTAGAGTAAAATTCCCTCACTGTGGGGAGAGGATAAAAACACCAATGGTGGACCCCAGCCACAGAAATCCTATGTGATTCTAACATGCAGCCAGGGTCAAGGACAGCTCCTTATATTCTGCAACTCAGTGCATATGAAAGGGCATTGAGAGCCAGAGGGAAAGAAAATCTCTGGGCTGCTCATGTGGCTCAGTACATCTTTCTGAGACCAACACAATGTTAGATATCAGTATGGGGCAGACTTGTACTAAATATAAGAAGTGTTTTTGTTTGATTTTTTTTAGCACCAGAGACCTAGGCCAGTTGTGGCCGAGAGCTGACACACATGCCTATGCTATAACCCCTCTTTCAGTCCCTGGTGTGCTCTGCAGTTCGCCTGACTGCAGAAGGCATCACTAATTCATCAAGGCCTGTTTTTCTGCTGAGCCCAGATGTGTCCTTAGAATCTTTCTGAACACAATGCTTCAGGTTGTGAAGACGAAATTTTTGCCAACCCGAGGCAAGCAAGTGTTGATTCATCTTAAATATGATGTAAGCATTTGCAACTATGCTGTTTTAAAAAGGAGAGAGGATGAATATTTCATATGTTTGCCTAACCAGCTGCCTCTTAGTTTGAGACTATTTCAAAAATATAATGAAACTCTTTCTTTTGAGCCTGTTTATAATCATAGAATGGTAGAATTTGAAAAAAACAATAGGGTTCATCTTAGTACAACTCCTTTACTTTTCATTTGAATAAACTGAAACCTTAGAAACGGGAAGTAACTTGCATATAATATGGCAGCCAGTATGTGACAATTTCTGATCCTCCAACTTGTGTCTTTTCCCAAGAACTAGGATGATCCTATGACCCTGTTTGCCTTAAAGAGTCCCATGTATGTCTGTGGCATTGGCATAATTAATGATAATACCCCATTCACTCTCTAAATGGCCCCAGTTTAGATGATAAATTATATGGTCACCCAATTGAAAGCCATACTGTTTCAGGGTGTTTTCAAGGCTAAACTATAGACACATGAAAAGCACCCATGGCCGAGTTCTTTCAAGTACCACACAATCTAAAGCATGCCCCCAAAAGACTAATACAAAACAACCCACCTGCTGTATTGCTGTCTTAAGTCTTAATTCACATTAAATATGAATTTAAGTTTTAAAAATTAGCTTTCTCTTAGCATATTCAACCTCGACTTTTTAGTGCCACTTAAAAACATAAGACATATTTGAATAAAATACAAATAAAGCATGAAACCATATTCATCTCCAGACTTTTCTCCAGGGTTTTATATCAGTTGGATTAAATGTTATTCAGTGTGCCCAGAATACCATTATGGATATTTTAAAAATTGAATATTCTTAGAACGAGTGAATGAATAGTAGATACATATTCAGCAGAGTCTATGTAGCAGATATGCTGGATCTCGGAAGCACAAAACTGATTCATGTTAACACCAACAAAAATTATCAATGATACTTTTACTTTAGAATTTTATTAGAACTAAATGAGAAATCATTTAACAGCATTTGTTCCACAAATATCTTTGGAGTTCATAACATGTGCTCGGCGTGGTTCTAGATGCTAAATACTAAGGTCACAGTGATTCAGAGTTTTAAATCCAGGTGACTGACATGCACTCACTTTTTTCAAGTTAATATGGAAACATATATGACAAGACTTTGAATGTACACACTGTTTGATTCCTGTTTTTGTTTATTTTATTTCTGACTAGTATACAGTTAGGCTTACCTCCAGGGCTGTTTTGACGGAGTTAGAGAATTAGGTGAACTTTGGGACACCTTTCGGTAGGGCCAAGATAAGGAAGTTAATAAAGGGTACCAAGAGATTTTCTTGTCCAAAGCATTGAAGTCACTCTGTGTCTCCAGAGTCATGACCTTTTTACAAAGTGAGAGCTAAGAGTTTCCAAAATACATACTTGTGTGCCATTGGTATTACCATCAGGAAGTCATTACTCTGTCTGCCGAGCTATCTTAGAGCCTGACCACCTCACCAGCCCCTGCCAATGCAGGCCTCTCTCGCATTTACCACGGCTTTCCTGGCAGTGGTGGCAGGAGTGCCTCTCTGAATTAGTCAGCACTCTCGGTGTCAAGGACATTTTTGCAAAAGGATGTTTTGGGAAATAAAAGGCATTCCACATTTCTTTTAAAACCATGAAAGCATGTTCCTATGCATGACCCTAGGCAATTTAATGATTCTACCATCAAACAGATAACCTTCACCATGTAACTAAATAAATGTCCTGTAGCCCCAAAACACCTGCTCAGTTTTCCTCTGGGAACTTTTCTCTGCTTTGTTCATTTGGAATCATAAAACAGGATATGACTTGGGCTTCAAATCATCCATAAACAACGTGTTGAACTTGGCTTCACAAATGTCAGATACATCAGAAGCTCAGTGATTCTGTGTCTACACGAAAACCCTTCCTTCACATGCAGTTTTGTCCTGTTCTCCCAGCGCTCATGGGATTCATGTGCCTCAGAGCTACAATATCTAATGACAAACATGCTTTCCTTTACTGAAATTTCTTAGTGAGAGCACAGAACATAAGAAGGTCCTGTGGATTTTAAGTTGTAAAGATTTCAATGAACTAAACACAAGAATAAAGCATCCCAATATTGGCAAAAACCTCCTAGCAAGATAGACAGAGGCCTCTACATAAACTAGTTCTTTATTTCTTAGTGGACATGATTTTACTTTTTATAACACAACGTAGTATTTGGCCACACAGGCTTTGTAGCAGGGAATTTTGCATCCCAATCTCAACTCTGCCAATATAACAGATGAGTCACCTCAAGCAAGCCACCTAACTTCTCTGCCCCCTCATCTTCTTGTTTGGGGGTGCCAATACCTACAACATGGGAGTTGCTGTGAGGATTACATGAGTTGATGCATACAGAGTATCAGCATGAGGTCTAAATGTAGTCAGAATTCAGCTAATACTAGTTACTACTGCTATTATTACTATTCCTATCGCCTGTTAGTTTCTCTGAGACCTCATATGTTGCTGTGAGAAGTGAGAGAGACAGGGCTCTGGTGAAATGGAAGACCCAGTGGCTGCATCCCCCTCCTTTAGTGGGGACTATTCTGGATACTTTCTGACTTGTCCCGGGATAGAAGGTGCAAGACAATATGCCTTAAGGCAAATTCAGTGCAGACGAAATAGAATTTGTCAAGGACTCTGTGGCCACAACAGGCCAAAGGTCTCTTAGTGGGCTTTTCCCAGTTCCTCATGTGCCATCTCAGGATGGTCACCTTTGGTGGCTCTTCAGTAGTCTTCTCTTTGCCTAAAACCAACTGACATGTTTTAGTGCTTGCCATGTCCCAAGAATTATTACAAGTTTTAAAAGCTTACTCATTCTCTATACTACTCATGTCGTGGAAAGATAACAGACAGTTCATGAACTGGCACCGGAATTAGCATTTCCCTAGACCAAAGAATGACTAATGCACTGGAGTGATGTTAAACCAGCACTCGGATGCCTTCTTATCCAGATTCCTGCCCCACTTCAAATCCTACTGTCTCTAACAAGCCTGTGCAAATCAGGACCTAGCTGTACTAGCAACTTAAACTCTCCAAAAGAGTTTGAGATCCTAAGAGGTCCTTGAAGCCCATGAACTTGTTCATCAGTTTTGGCATGTGTATATGTTTTTCTAGAGAGAAAGTCCATAATTTTCATCAGATGTTCAAATGGGTATGTGATCTAAAAATGGTTCAGATAAACTAACTCCCTAATAGTTTTATTTCAGCCAGTAACTCTAGTTAAAAATTTCAACATGTAGCCCTGGACACTCCCTGGGAAACATACACACACACCTAGGGGAATCATCGTCCTTTAAAGGCTCCCCAGCTCTGTCACTGGGCTGCCTGTTATCCATGGTGTTTCAAAGTACTATTGTCATGGGTTAAGAAAGACTGCTTGTCCACCAAAGCCTTGGACAGCAAACAGGAGATTAGCTCTCTTTGAGAAATCTTATTAAAAATAGGAATAGTCTGTGGGAGAAAGGGGTACTACCATTCTTAAACATTACAGAAGTGTTCCTCACGTTGATGTCTTAGAAGCCCAGAGATGAGTGAGGATGTCTGAAGGGTGTCTGGCACAGGGATATGAAAGGATGAAGGAATCAATACTGTGTATGGTTGGAAAAGAGTTGAGGAATCACAAGGAGCATTGGCTGTTATGAGCAGGGGAGGAATAGAGAGTATCCAAGTAGAAACAGAGGCCCATAAGAAGTGGGAATAATGACATGCCTAGGAGGATGGGGTTATCATCCATCCAAACATCAAGCAGCACTACAAAGCCATTTTAAGAGGAATTCTACCCATAGTGCCCAGACTGCCATCTTTACATACCATTTACCAAGGAAAGGAGTCAGGATTCCTCACAGAAATGGCTAACTGCAGGTTTGCAGGAGGAACCTACAGCATCTGTTCCTGCCAGAAAAGCCTACT